AAAATCATAAAGAAGAAGGAGGGAGGATTCCTGCAGCAGAATGAAGAGGCATCTGGTAAAATACTGCCAGGAACTACTTGAGGAGCTTTCAGAGGACCTAGAGGAAAGTATTTCAGCAGGAACTTTCCATGCTCCTGGAGGGCACAAGCTCTACAGGGAAGCAATGGAAAGGATTAAGAGAGACTATCTGTGCGTGCCCAGAAAAGGAGTGAAGGTGAGGAATGAAGATGAATGGGAGGTCCAGAGAGGAATCAAGGGCTTGTCCTGAAAACAGCATCATTGGGAGAATCAAGGGTGGGGGGGTGGGGACCACTGTGAGAGCTTCAGCCTTTAAGGCCCACTCTTTGCTATTTATTCCTGGAGGAGAATATGAATGTCCATTCCCCTAAAATGAGTATAGATATCTGAAATTCACAAGAGAGAGAAGGGAAATCTTTTATGTCTTTAAGAATTACCATGGGGCCACCCCGGTGGCGCAGCGGTTGAGAACTGGGTTGCGAAGCTGCCCGCAGCCTCTGCAGCGCCAGTTCTATCCCCGGCTGCTCCCCGGCCACTGGAGGAGGGTCCCACATGGCGCGCAGACCTCTCCTGCCGCCCACTGCTCCCCTCAGCAGTGTACTTCGGTCCTTCTGCCTGCTCTGCTCCCCGCTCTGGCTCTGGTGAATTCTCTCACCCTCCCGCGCTTCTGACTATACCCAGTGCTTGTATAAAATAAATAAATCAATCTTAAAAAAAAAAAAAGAAGTAACATGACCTTCAATATGTCAAGGGGTAATGATTTACAAGTTAAAGTCAAGGCTGATCAAAGTGAAAGGCAGTCCAGTCCATAGACAACTACATACACAGTGATGATGCTTATCAACCTTAGATTCTGGGCAGCCCTGTGATATTATGGTAAGAAATGTAAAAAGAAACTGCTATTGTAAAACATAAAAACAACTGCTATTGCCTGTAGTTGAGTTCTTCAGACATTTTCATTTAATCCTCCAAAAACTATTTACAAGAATCGATCCCTGTTTCCCACATTTTGTAGATGGAGCTAGGGAGCACAGGCAGGGGATGTAACTTGCCTGGAGCTACACATCTAGCAAGTGGTGGGAGAATGGCAGTGTGATTAGAGTGTGCATTTCACAGTGTGTGCCATCCAGGGAAGCCTCCCAGAGGAGGGGGGGAATTTGAAGTATTTGCACATGCTCTCCAGGTTAAGGTGTTGTCCAAAAGGAAGAGCCACAGATAAACATGCTATTTTACATACATACATACACACACACACACGTTTATGTCTCTCTCTCTCTGTGTGTGTGTGTGTGTGTGTGTGTGTGTGTAGGAGGAAGGGAGATTTGGACACCCTCTGGTCATACTGAGTTTGAACTCTTTGTAGGGGGATCCTGCAGCATTTTTAAAAAAGATTTATTTTATTTATTTATGCCTACAAGAACTGGGGTATAGGCCAGAGGTGTGGGGGGTGAGAGGATTCACCAGAGACAGAATGGAGAGCAGAATAGGTGGATCTACTGAAATACACTGCTAAGGGGAGCAGTGGGTGAGACAGGAGAGGTCTGCCACACCATGTGGCTCAGCAACCTGGCCAGGGAACAACTCTTGTCGGAGTGGCTGGAGACATCTTGACAGTGCTGAGACTATTTTTAAGCAAAAAATAAAAAATGACATGGTGGACTTGTACAGAACAATTCTCAATGGAAATCTGTGTTCTTTGCTTCTTCTTGTTCCTCAGGCAAATGAGGCCCTTCAGGACTTCCTGCAGTCACAGACACCAATAGAGAAATACATCCTGCAGGCTGACAGAGCCCTCACTGCTGAGCAGAAGGCCTTTGCAGGTATGGGGTAGGGCTCTACCCACATGGTTGCTGGGTGGGGTGTGGGGGTAGGGTAACAGTTTCCTGCTTTGCACATTGATAGAAAAAGCTTTCCCTCATTCATGTATACCCTGCTAATTCTGAAAATAAGAGGCAGGATTCCCATCAGTCTTTTCTACCATATTCTCAGGCCTGCTTTTGATAGTGTGGCCACTAGGGGAATTTGAGGTTTCCCATTCTCCTTTTCAAATTTGATCTCTATGCTAAGAGGGTGTTGCTCAATTATGATCTGTAACTTTCTTCTCTTCCTAAAACCTTCATGGGGCAGAGAAACGAGCCAGGATGGAGGCCGCTGAGGAGGAACAGGAATGGCTAAAAGATAAACAGGAGGAGCAGCAACAACAAGCACAGGCACAATTGAGAGACCTCAGGGAGAACATAGCCCAGCTGAGAGAGAAGCTGGAGAAGGAAAGAGAAAAATGATAGGAGGGAACTGGAGATGATACTGGAACATAAGCTGAAGGTGAGTCTGACATGGTCTCAGTAGTTCTTGATGGCTGTTGCTCTGGTACCTCATGGAGGAAGGGAAGAAAGTTAAAGCAAAATTGAAAAAAGAGACACATTACTGTCATTTGAGTTACTAAAAGTATTGAACCGTGATTTTTCAAGAGGTTTTTGATTTCTGCTCCATACTGAGTCCCTGACGTGTCTGGGGGACTTTGGGCATCCATGTCCTTGAAGGATATAAGTAACCTCTGCAAGATGAGTTCCCTTACAGGTAGGATTCTGAGGGTCTCATGGATTATAAAGTTTATATTTCAGCCCCATGTTTTTCACATAAGCAGCAACCAGGCGCTTCACCAAGCCCATTGTCAATTTTCAGGAAATCTTCCATCAAAGATCCTGATTTGTAGCTATGCTCTCCTGAAACTATCAGACATGACTGGATTTAGAAATATAAGGAACTGACACCTTCTAGACTTGGCGCAGGTGTGGGTGGCTTGCCTTGGTCACTACATGGGGGCATTCTCTCTTTTCCCCTCTGGAAGTATTTATGTTTTTCTCAATCAGCTTATACTTTCCCATTATCTCCATGATATGGGAGACTGTGCTACCCCAGGTGGGAGTGAACATCTGTGCAAGTGAACTAATGGCTCCCGTGCAACCTGCACCTTTGGTTGGAGCATATTACTGCACTTGCCCTCATGCTTGCTGCAGCCCACAGCAAAGCCTTAATGGTGAATGGATATAAGTAAAGTTGAAATGTTCCTCATTTCACTATCCACATGTGGCCCAGAAGATATTCTTTGCTTTAAATACTATCTTCTGAAGATGCGGTACATATACATAACGGACTACTACTCAGCAATCAAAAAAGGTAAACTCATGCCATTTGCAGCAATATGGATGGAGTTGGAAAGGATTATGTTAAGGAAAATAAATCAAAAAGAAAAAGATAAATATCAGACGATTTCACTTATAGGTGGAATATAAGGCAACTCAACAAAGAGTCAGGAAAAAAGACAAAACTTGCCTGAGGCATCCAGCAGGGTAGGGGCAGGCAGAGGGGTCAAAACAGGGGAGGGAAGAGATGCGATGGTGATGGACCACAGGTGCTATGGTAGCAGAGAAATCAAATGCTGTACTAAAATGGACAATGATATAAGAAAACAAATAAATTTAATTATATTAAAAATGTTATCTTCTGATTGTTTAAGAAGAGAGCATAGTTTTGTGTGTAAAGTACCACAAATTTAGCAAAGTTCTTAAATATAACATCTAACTCCTGAAAAGGGGATATTCAAGAATTTCTTTCGTTTTTCTATACCCCTTTGTTTTAGATGCAAGAAGATATGCTTACTGAAGGATTTAAAAAGAAGTCTGAGGAGATGAATGCAGAGATAATCCATTTGAGAAAAGAGATTGAGAAGAATAAAGAGGAAAAAGACTCGTCCTGGATTTCACGGGCCTTTGACATACTTGACAATCCACAATCTGCTGCCCGGGTGGCTAAAGTGATGGATTTGGGTTTGATGGTTCTGGGCAATCTGTTTTAATAAGATTAGCACCTCTTTTAAGGAACTTATGGAATGTGGATAGAGGCTTCATCCTGTTTTTGGAGTGTGTGTGTTTTCATTCAACTCAAAAAAGGTTTAAACATCAAAAGAACATAAAGACTAAAGGATATCGGGGCCTGACACATATTAGATAGATAGGTTTTATTAGTTTAAAAGAAAAAAAACAAATAACTTTATAACAGGAGTTGACAATTTTTTCCTGCTAGGCCAGATCTGTCCTGCTGCCTGTTTTTGTCACCGTTACTAGGAGACCACCATGCCTCTACATTAATGGGTCTTTAGGCTGCATACAGTCCCCAATAGCAGAGCTGAGTAGCTGCAACAAAGACAGTATGGCACACAGAACCTAAATACTTCCTTATAGAAGCCTGTCATTCAATGGTTTATTAGCAGAGAGAGACAAAACCTGCAATAGATGTTAAAATTACCTAGGGACAAAACCTATCGAGATTGCTACTGATATGCACACAAAAGAATTCTATTATATATATATATATATTTTTTTTTTTAAGTGAATTCTGTATTTCAATTCTAAATGTACTGTGTTCTTATTCAAAAGATGTTTTGTGGCACTGCAGAGGCTGTGGACAGCTTCATAGCACTGAGCTTAACCCCTGTGCCACCAGCCCGGCCAGGGAGATGCCCACATGGCACAGCAGACCTCTTCTGCCTCGCCTGCTGCTCCCCTCAGCAGTTTCTTTGTTCTGTTTGCCTGTTCTGC